TGAAGCTCCAGCTGCCCGCCCATCTTCTACAGGGGTCCTATGCTGCCTTTTAGTACTGTACCGCAGACTTCCGAATCTACAAGTAATAATTTTCAGCAAACCCGACTTTGGCCTGTTCGTCCGTCCGTCCGTCTATCCGTCCTTCTTCGCGACACCACGCACCACATCTCGGACCACGTCTTCGCCTCTTGTCTCCGTTGCTGCCTCTATCTTCCGATCCGATTCGGCGGTTCTTCAGTTAGAGCCTCAATTGGTCTCCTCACTCCCTTAATCTCAATCTGCGCATTCCGCTCTCAGTTTCGCCTTCTCTTTCTTTCCTACGGTTATTTGCGCGGAAAACCCACCAGCTACCTCCAATGTCTTCATCTACTTCGGGAGTCAACGTACGTAGCAGTGCTGTCTATTCCTACAGCTACGCGCGACTATGCAATTGACTCTTTTTTATCCGCATAGGTACTTCGGTACTCGGCTCTCGCCTTCGGTATCTTCTACGGCTTCACCCACCAGCGATCCATCACCGCTTCACAACGCGCCGCCGCTGCCAAAAGAGATTATGAACACAAGCAGCATTTAATAGATCAGGCCAAGGCCGAATATTCCAGGTCCAAAAATCCCTCGGCCGCTGCTACTTCGGAAAAGAATGGCTGTATGTCCCTTCACCCATTTCCCAATGATGCCAAAAGGGGGATTGCTCCGGAGACTGACACGCAGCCAGTGAGCCAAGATCCGATGGACCCAAAATTTGATATGGAGGCCTATATGAACGCTCTAATGACACAGAAGGCCTAATGCACCGCCTGTTATAAATTTTAGACACGGAGCAGATCCGGCATGGGATAAACGGGAAACCCAGGGGACACTCGGGGCAGAGGCGGGGAGTTTACTGAAAGTTTATGTGAAAATAATGCTTCGTTGGTACTGCATGCACCCCTACGTCCTCGAGCGCCGCTATTGTATGATTGTTACCATTCCCAGGAAGCTACCGGATAGATTTTCCTTGCGTCCTTCGTGTACATCTATGCTTATACCAGTTCAGTTTCTCTAGATCTTTGAAGAAAGCTATATCATACAATTTTGTTCGTAGCACAGATAACAACAGTCGTAGCAGATGCGATTGTCTTCCAGCTCGGGTGATTTCGATATATGTTAGTGTTCTGGTATATATCCTTGTAACTTCACGTCCGCATCGTGATAGGGCTTGCTGTTTACGATCTTCTAGATTCCTCTTATATTGAGTGCCTTACAGCTACAGCGCACATCAACTTCGATCAACCACATTACTTTTGTCGTATGATGCTCATATATGTGTTGCGACCTGGTGTGAACCGCCTTGACGGCCTTGATCACCGGGCTAGGAGTCAATCAGGCCACATCTCCAATGCAATATATAAGCCACTCACAGGCAAGACTAGTGTTATGACTGATAATTGCAGAAAGCCCTCGCTCTACGCTTTCAGCCCACAGGCTCTCTCAATTGAAGCAGACATTGATTGATGTATTTGGAAAAGCGTAGCATCATGTGGGAGGCACAAGATAGGTCATTTTGGGGAGTCTGTTTTCAGTCCAACGGACATATTACCCTGGATTTGAACCTTGCCATTGATATCCGATCACAAGTATAATCTAAAGCAGAGCTATTTACACCACCAGCAAATAAAGCTATGTATACAATACTACTACCGAAGAAACCGAGCCCAAGACCGACGATAAGGACTAATGTGTTTTTATGCTTATCGGGTTGTTCTCTTAATGTTAAAGAAAGCGTAGGTACATAATGTACCTTAGGTAAGATTCAATGTTTACATGGTACATGTATCAATCGCTAGGTAGGTATTCATAGGTACGTACCGAAAAGTACCTACCTATAGATGGGGCAACATCAGTACCTGGAATTATGGGTCAAATCGAAAGCTCCAGCTGTCCTCTCCTACGGGACATGGTCGGCTCTTCTTGGCGTGCAGGTGGGTAACAAGCAAGCACCACAAGCAAAGACGCAACTTGTATAGGTAACTATTAACACCATTTCTCCAGCATCACTCCCTGATCAACTTCCCCCAACCACCTCATGCTAACATAAATGTGACGCCGTTCAACATCCAATCGTCGCGTCGTCGCATTCTCTCCTCGCCATGGCTGTCGTTAAAGACGCCAGTTCTGCCCCAGTCGAGCTACTGGTCTCGCTCGGCAGGAACCAGAGCACCAAGACGCTGTTGAAGGTCATCATTTTGGCCCTTATCGCCGCCGCCGCCGTTGCGAGCCGTCTCTTCTCCGTTATACGTACGTAGTCTCTCCACCCCAAACTACATGCTTTTGAGGAGTGAAGGGAGAAAAGGGAAGAAAAAAGAACCTTTGCCTTAGCTAACTTAATCCTACTCGCCACGTATAGGCTTCGAGAGCATCATCCATGAGTGTCAGTTCACCTTTCCCGCGACTACCCTCCATTCTTGTTCTGATCATTTGTACAGTTGACCCATGGTTCAACTTTCGAGCCACCAAGTACCTCGTAGCCAACGGATTCTATCAATTCTGGGATTGGTTTGACGACCGAACATGGCATCCTCTGGGACGTGTCACCGGCGGCACCCTGTACCCGGGTCTGATGGTCACGAGCGGCGCCATCTACCACCTGCTCCGATTCTTGACCGTGCCTGTCGATATCCGAAACATCTGCGTGCTCCTGGCCCCAGCCTTTTCGGGCTTGACCGCTTACGCTTCCTATCTCCTCACCAATGAGATGACAACCTCCTCGTCTGCCGGCCTCCTCGCCGCCGCTTTCATGGGCATCGCCCCGGGTTACATCTCACGATCTGTCGCCGGTTCTTACGATAACGAGGCTATTGCGATTTTTCTTCTCGTCTTCACCTTCTTCCTCTGGGTCAAAGCATTGAAGCTGGGCTCCGTTCTCTGGGGTGCCCTCTGCGCTCTTTTCTACGGCTACATGGTGGCGTCCTGGGGTGGCTACGCCTTCATTACCTGTCTCGTCCCACTACATGCTTTCGTTCTCGTCTGCATGGGAAGGTTCAGCATGCGTCTCTATGTCGCCTACACCACTTGGTATGCTCTCGGAACGTTAGCCAGCATGCAAATTCCCTTCGTTGGCTTCTTACCTGTTCGCACTAGTGAACATATGCCCGCACTAGGTAAGAATTGGGCTACGCGCAAAGAACAACACGAAGTGTTACTAACACTTATCAGGAATCTTTGGCTTCCTTCAACTTATCGCCTTCCTTGAATACGTCCGATCAGCCGTCCCGAGTCGTCAGTTCCAGACCTTCCTCTATGTAGGGCTGGGTGGCATCTTTGGAGCCGCTCTGCTGGGTCTCGTCGCTCTCACGGCAGGGGGCTATATTGCGCCTTGGTCCGGTCGGTTCTACTCTCTCTGGGACACGGGCTATGCCAAGATTCACATTCCTATTATTGCATCCGTCTCGGAACACCAACCCACTGCCTGGCCAGCCTTCTTTTTCGATCTTAACATGTTGATATGGCTTTTCCCCGCCGGTGTGTACATGTGCTTTCAGAAACTCGAGGATGAGCATGTCTTTATCATAGTTTATGCCCTCTTCGGAAGCTACTTTGCAGGTGTCATGGTGCGCTTGATGCTCACCCTTACGCCAGTTGTGTGCGTCGCTGCTGCCATCGCTGCGTCTCAGCTTCTCGATACATATCTTCAATACAAGTCTCCAGAGGCTCTCGATATCAAGGAGGAAAACCCCTCAGACGGGTCCATCAAGAAGCCATCCAAACAGAGCTCTCTGCGGTCGGCCTCTCAGCCCGTAGTCGGCATTTACACTCTATTATCTAAGGCCTTTGTGGCTGGTTGTATGACACTTTACCTCCTCATTTTCGTTCAACATTGTACCTGGGTCACCTCAAACGCTTATTCTTCCCCATCTGTGGTACTCGCCAGCCGAATGCCGGACGGCAGTCAGCACATCATCGATGATTACCGTGAGGCTTATCAATGGCTTCGGCAGAACACCAAAGAAGATGCAAAGATTATGTCGTGGTGGGACTATGGCTACCAAATCGGTGGCATGGCGGACCGGCCTACCCTGGTTGACAACAATACCTGGAACAACACACACATCGCCACTGTTGGTAAAGCCATGAGTTCCCGAGAAGAAGTCAGCTATCCTATAATGCGCCAGCACGAAGTGGACTACGTGTTGGTTGTCTTTGGTGGCCTCCTCGGCTACTCTGGTGATGATATCAACAAGTTCCTGTGGATGGTGAGGATTGCTGAGGGCATTTGGCCAGATGAAGTCAAGGAACGTGACTTCTTCACAGCTCGTGGCGAGTACAAGGTCGACAGCGAGGCCTCGGAAACCATGAAGAACAGCCTGATGTAAGTGGAATTGATTACAGAACGTGCTGAGCCACTAGCTGATGATATGGACAGGTACAAGATGTCGTATTACAATTATGGAGCATTGTTCCCTCCAGGCCAGGCCCAAGATCGTGTGCGCGGTGTACGACTTCCCGACCAAGGCCCTGTCCTCAACACATTGGAAGAGGCTTACACAACAGAAAACTGGATTATTCGTATTTACAAAGTGAAAGACCTCGACAATGTTGGGCGAGACCACGCTGCTGCGGCATCCTTTGATAGAGGTCACAAGAAGAAGAAGGCTATCAAAAAGCGCGGCTTACGAGCGCTAAGAGTAGACTAGACGCGAACTATTATACTGAAAAGTTTGAGCTTAACCAAAAATGAGAATAGCCCATCAATAACAAGACTCATAGTGAGTATATTTTGAGACGGATGGATTTTCAGGGGAACAAAAGCCACGCAGTATGCCTGTACTATAAAATGAGTAAATAAAACGAATGAATTTCGACATTTAAGTTATAAAATAATGATTTACAGTTTTAAACTAGTAAGTAAAAAGGTATAATAAGCTAAAATAAATAGAAGACAATATTAATATTAACTTGGTATTATTAATTAATTGAAAAATAAATTAAAAATATTTATTAGAAGATTTTACGCTCAACTTTGCCCCCTACTGGAATCGAACCAATTACCTCGTCATTACAAACGGGCTGAACGCTCGGTCGTTACTAGTGACGCGCTCTACCGATGAGCTAAGAGGGCTATAATCTGATGTGATGCAGGTACACTATGTCACGTGTTGGATTTGGGCTTCGTTATAATCTAATATAGGAGTATTCTACTCACCTGGTCACTCGCGCGTGTGGAGTAAAGCCGATGCTGAACCTGAATAATAATGATTAGGCCTTAATGTATCTAGTTCGAGCAGAAGAATACGCCTACATACGCGAAAGAAGTTTCGATTGGAAAGGCTAGCCCTCTAAGAGGAATAGCAGTGACTATCCATCCCAGCCATGGCTAAGTGAGACTTTCTGATAAGGTGGCAGGCGACAAAGAACATTTTAATTCGGAGGGGATTTTTTTTCCTCCTCAGCTTGCTATAGCCGGACAACTAATACCAAACCTATAACACACAACAACGTAGTATATTCGTTCCCCTCTCCTTTTTTAATTCGTAACAACCACTCTTACACACAAGTCCTTCCAACTTGTGGACTATCTTTTCTTCTCCTATGTTTCTCCAGGACAACAGCCTCACGCCTTTTACCAACCGAGTACCTCTTCCCCAGCCATGTTATTCACTCTGTTGCCCGTCCCCTTTTGTCCCTAGCCTTCATCTTTTCTGAGTGTGCTCTTGTACAACTTGCCGGTCATGCTTCTAAGAGCAAGACCAGCAATGACAAATCAAGCCGTGAGGAAGGGACCATCAGATTTCTAATCATACATACATTCCGACAATTTCTCTAGCAGGGCTGGACTGAACTGCCGTCTTTAATGCAATATCGACGTAGCCAGTCATCGTACTTTGTATCAGGCAGTATTAATACAACTCTCTTAGCCATGGTGAAAGATTGGTGGCATTGGATGGCTGCGTTAGTGTTGGTGGCTGGTTAAGTTGGTGACAGTCGCATGAAGCGACTGAAACGGTTACCATCATTGGTGACGGACAGGCTTTTCTGTACCCCACCGCTCCTCAGATCGTCCGCCGAATGTCCCGTATGCGCGATGAGGGAAGACCCAACTGGGGACGGTAAATTATCAGCATCATCATCGTTGTAGTCGCCATTGTCATTATCTTGTTTGTTATATGGGTTGTTCTTCCAGCAGCCCGAGGCCCTAGCTAGGTCGCCGTTCAAATACCCAGAATAGGATACGAATACCTCACTGGTGGGACATGACGCTACCGTTTTCTGCCGTCGATCGTTTTCGCTAGAGAACTCTGTCCACACTGTTAGCAAATATGCCCTCTGTCGATAAAAGCCTATCATGTAAACCCGTGAGAAACACACCGATTCGCTCAGCCGGCTTGCCCTCGTTACTCCCAGCCGTCCCTTCCACTGGGTACCCGTCACCACTAGAAGAGACAAAGTTGCTGTCGCTACAATCCGTATCGGACTCACAGCTCACTATCGATATATTACTTTTGGTCAGAAAGCTAGACATAGGGAAGGATGAAGTGGTCGAGCCACCCCATGAGCTCTCTGTGCTAGTGAGGAGCTTACCCGCTGCTGCCAGGTCTCGCTCAGCCAGCTCCTCAGCCTCCCATTCTAGGTCTGATCGAATCTCTGTCCACGAGTCGTTTATGACACAAGAGGAGCCAGAGGCGTCGGCATAGGGCGGGTCTTTAGGTGTCACCGGCTCATCCCAGTGGAGCATTCTACCATGCTCATGACTTATCTCCGGTGATTCGATACTTGTTGACCGTTGCTGGAAGTTCGCAGAGTCAGCAGATGGGAGGAGTCCCTCTATACCCCCTGTCGAAATCTCAGGACTGTGGTTGGAGGAGACGTAGGAATCATCATGACGGCAGTCCGAGTCAGGCTTCCCAAGGCGCTTGTCTTTACACCGTTCCGAGCCCATCCCGGAGGCTGCAACTACTGGTATCTTGGGGAACCTGGTCTGGGAAGGCTGCTTGTGGTAATTATGAGCGTCGCCTTGTGTGTCTGCAGAGCTGGCACTATTCGAAACAGGTGCCTGGGACGTTCTTGCCACGTCATTGGTGGCAATGTGCGCATGCCTCTGCCGCGGAGCCGTGGATGACCTGTTTACGGGCAGCCGACTGAATGACTCGGAACGCATTTGGGTCCCGGCTGGATGTGACAGCGAAGCAACATGTTTTGTCTTCAAACCAGAATCGCTACACTTTTCATGGATGGCACGTGACAAAATGCCACTGGTTCCCGGGGGGGATGGATTGGCGATCACTGGCTGCATTTGTGAGACGCGGGTACGATGATGACGAACGGGAGTAGAGTGTTTGCTGCTCGTAGATGGAACTTTGCCCACCCCATTCTTAAGCTTCTTGGGCATGGCAACCAGAGGCACAAGCGGCGAATTGCATTTTACTTTTGGGTATTCTTCACCAGGCGAGTTCTCCCTGGGTAGGGCCGGTACCTCGGGTTCTTCTTGTTCGGTCCTATCGTTGGTCTTTTCGTCATTGCGGCAAACGGGAAACCTTGGGGCTCTAGAGGTGAGATGGTTTACAATCGGATCGGATGTTAGTGACGAATCCCCAGATCTCGATTCTTCTACAGCCGCTATTGATCTCGGCAGCCGGAGATAGGCCCTAGAATTAGCCTCGCGGGAAAAGATCCTTGAGAATGGACCAAATTGTTTGGACTTCTTGAACCAACGAGGTCCATGACGGGATTGCTTATAGGCGTACTTGCCATTAGCAATAACGCGACCCTCGTCGGTGCTTAGCCCGGGCACGAGCGCTTCTTTGGAATGCTAGAGAGCGTTGTTAGCCTATTGAACATTTACCGAGAAGACATAATCAAAAATGCTCACATTAGCAAGTCCAGGATCCGTGTAAATCGCATCTCGTATACATCTGGAACAATAATCCGGCTCTGGGATCTCACCTCTTTTCAGAGGATATGTATTCTGGTACCGTCTAGACCGCTTCTTGCCACATCCAGCGCAAACATGGACGTGGTGGATACGTCTTCTGAGATATTGTTTCTCGTCAACAATCTTTCTATCCTTTTCGTTCATCTGCTTCGTGTCCTGCCTAGAGGCTTTGCTGCGGACTTCTGCAATTTCGTGTGCATGGAACCAGTTTGGCTGTGGAGGAGGAGGCGGCGGCGGCGGCGGCGGCGGAAGTATGTTAGCAGAGCGAACGCCAGGTATGGCCTGCACACTAGGAAAGCATTGTGACAGAGGATGGCTAAAGTGCTGACGGTATGGCTGTATCGACACTGGTGATGTCTGAGAAGGAGAGAAGCCCGGAGGACCAAAATACTGGGTTTCCATATGATACTGCGAGTTTGCCCAGTTTGGAGCGTCATGGGGTGTTGCGGGAACAATAGAAGGGTGTCTAGGCAAGTGAGCAGGCCCGTAAGTCGTAGGATGGTAGCCCATTGGCAGGAAAAGTGGGCTGCTATTCATCACCGGATGACCATACCAACCCGCGGTATTCGGCGGAGGTGGAGGAGGTGGTAGTTTGAATCCCTGTGGAGCTAGGAATGGAGGTCTCATCTCGTGATGGACATCTTGACACGAGCGTGAGGCGCCGCTATTGTCCCGTTGGGCCACGGCCTCAGGAGGAGTGGAGCAAGCGCGAGTACTGCTTGTCTTACGGGCCGTCACACGTGAGTTGATATCGACATCTACATCTTTATCTTCGAAGGTGCATCCTCGGCTGCTAGCGTCGAGCCTCTGTGCTCCTCTACCTTGGAGGCGAGGAGTGGCTGGGGCTGTGATTATGCCTGAGCTCTGAGATCTTATGCTCAACGGGCGAGGCTGCTTCTCAAAATCCATGCGCGAGGGGATGCCAAGGCTTTGGCTGAGAATATCGAAGCCGAACCCCTGAAGGAGTCTGTCGGGCTTCTTCCGGCCGAACGCTGGTTCTCCATCCTTAGTCTGCGTGAGGTACACCTTGTCATTGCCAGGCAAGAAGAGTGGCCCGCCGTCTGCATCATGCAAAGAGGGCCGGGGCATAGCAGAGTCAGTACTCCTGGACAATCCATCAGTTTGCGGGCCTATGGCTAGTAAACCGTAACAGAGTAAAAGCGAACAGTCCCATATACTGTCGGGGTGACTGAGATGCAGAGTCATGTGAAGACGTAGATTGGAATAGAAGGAAGCTTGGCTGGAGGCAGATCGTGACGATACTCAGACCAGGAGGATACTTACTGGGAGCGATTGCGGCCTCTTCCAAATAGACCCATCATACAGCAGTGTGGCTTCGCCTTCGTGATCCTACTCAGGGCGTCCGAGTCCTCGGATGCAGGTTGGAACAAGGCGCAGCGAGCTAAAGTAGTGCACAATGTGCTTCTATGGTGCAAAGAATGACAAGACAGACGAGGCAATCGAGGAAGAGATTACTCTAGGTCAGGCCAACCAGCAAAGATGTGCCATCAAGGCCGGTAGAGAGTAGAGAATGGTAGGGAAGGTAGGCTAGACTGGCGGCGGATGGAGAGACAATATACAATACACCGGATAATCGGTGGGTAGGAGAAGAAAGAGGAAGAATGGAGGGTAAGTGAGTGCAAGTAAGGGAGGAAGAGAGGTCTGAAGAATTGGTTGGTGTGCCGATATTTTTGATGGACATCTTGTTGGCAAGGTCGCAGCTGGCCGAAACGAAGAAAAAGGCCTGCACCACAAGTTAGAAGCAAACGTGGAAATGCATCTAAACAAAGCTGCCTGCCTTAGGACAGAGGCAAGGGCAGATGTTATGTAGTGCTGTAGGTACGTCAACTTTCTGTGTGCGTATTCAAGCAGGCAGCAGGTAAGCAACATTGAATACATGTGAATACATATATAAATATATATATAAATACATGTATACATATGTATTGTGCGGAGCTGAGGCTGCATTGTATCCTTGATACCACGAGCCCTCGCCCTTTCGTTCCCATGCGGCTAGTAAACAGCCTTGCCAGAAAGACCACATCATGGCCCTACCGAACCTGAGGCACCCAACCCAGCTCGTAGCGAGCTGAGATCTATGAACAGGTGGTCAGACCTTCTACACCCACTTGCATGCGCAAACCTTTCAACATAGGGGTCCCCCAAGATCATAAATAGGATGTTTAGAA